TTTTTCTTAGATCGAGCATTGACATCCTTTTATTCTTCTGTAGGACTCGACTTACTTTTCCTGAGAAACTCTTGTGCCAAGCAAAGCTCGGTAAGCATGCAGTTCTTCTTGTAGTATAACATTTATATAGAAGCTAAACTTATCCGTATTTACACGTTCTTTGTACTCTTTAAAGTATTAAAACCATGTTGTGATATAAAAGCAGCTTTTTCTTCTGGAAATGAATCATTCAACTCCATAGTAGTGCCTCCAACCCTGTTAGCAGCTGAAAAAGAAGAAGCCAAATCTGTGTTATCCTCTTTCTTGAAGAAACAAGGTCTGAGCAAGGTAGTTGCTGCAAAAACCATCACTAAATCAGATCTTTTCATCGACCACCTTGTCTCAAGGCTTCATTCTGTTCATAAATCTCGGTATCTTGTAGGTTCGATTGCAATAAGTACCGGTTATTTTCGGCTATTGTTTTCTAAGTGTTTTTGTTCCTAATTCTTATTTTTCCCACAAATCAAAATTTGCTTGCCATACAGGAAAAGAGCTCACAACTCTTGAGATCAGGAATACCCTTATTCCTTATATTGAATCTCTTCTTGTAGAGCATGGAAACAGTGTCGTAAATTTAGTAGAGAACTTTCCTATTATACCTGTCAAAGACAAGCCAGCTGCGTCAGTCTCTCAACACCATTCCACCCCCGACTTCAAGAAGCCAAAAGGCGTCTCCAATGCACCTGTTAAAGGAAAGACAGGTTCGTCAGTTTCTCAATCCTTTTCTGCTCCCCTCAACTTCAAGAAGCCAATGGTTGTCTCTAATGGACCTAGAGAACAAAAGCCAGCCACGTTAGTTTCTCAATCTGGTTCTTTTCTTTACTCTAAGAAGCAAAAGGCTGTCTCTCGAATGATTGAGGTTGGCGCGGTTGGAGATTTACGACCCCAATTCCTCTACCTCTTAAAGCTTGGCATGGATCTTGAGCAGATCAAGTTAGTTACAAGCAGATGTCCTAGTTTTGCCTACTACAGGTTGGAGAGGAGAATCAAACCACTAGTTGAGTTTCTTCTTGATCTTGGGGTAGCTAAATCAGAGATTCCTAAAATTTTTGTCCAAAGGCCTCATTTATTCGGACCTAGTATATCTGGTAAAATTATACCCATCATGTTATACTTAGAAGACATGGGTGTGGACAAGAAGCAGTGGGCAAAAGTTATATTACGCAGCCCAGGACTCCTCACTCATAGCAGGCAGAAGCTTCAGGCAATTGTTAATTTCCTTAATGAGGTTGGCTTATCAGGTGATAGCATAGGTAAAGCCTTAACTCGGCTCCCAAAAATTGTAACTTGCAGTGTGGAAGACAATCTGAAGCCTGTGAACAATTTTTTCTATGAAAAGGGATTCACCGTGGAAGAAGTGAAGTCCATGGTGTCAACATTTCCATCTGTAAATTCTTACAGCTTGACGGAGAGCTTGATACCGAAACAGGAGTTCTTTTTTACCACGGGTTATTCAAAGTTGGCGCTGGTTAAGTTCCCTCAGTATTTTAGTTACAGTTTGGAGCAAAGAATCAGACCACGTTTTGTACTTGTGAAGGAGTTAGGAGTGAAAATCGGGCTGAACCGCATGTTAGCAGTATCGTTCTGTGACTTTGAGAAAGTTTTGGAGACGAGCAGAAAGAATATGCTTGCTGACGAGCTTTCCAGTTGTCCAAAGAGCAAGTAATGATCTTCGGTTAGGAACTGGATTCTATGACTTCTAAGCGGAGTGCCCAGTAGAATGAAGCATGGTAATGGTACAACTACGCGATCAGTGTCATTTGGATTCAATGTCCTCTTAGTGACGATTTCTTCTCATTATATAGGCACAAATGTGCAATATACAAGGCTAAAATCAAGCTTGAATTACAGCAGAAAATCTGCCTAAATTACAGCCATTAAATCTGTTTATACCAAAACTATACATATTCTGACTAAATAAGGAAGTGTATATATGTACAACTGGTGAAAACTAATTAAGGAAAGCGTATCATGGTGACATCCCCCCTCAAAGTGATGCTGGTCGGTCAAGGAGCATCAATTTGCCTACAAGAAACTGATGCCGTTGTCGTGTCATAGCCTTCGTAAACACATCTGCAATCTGGAGGTCAGTAGAAATATGCGGAAGAGAAATGATACGAGTGTCCAATACTTCCCAAATGGAATGACAGTCCACCTCAATGTGTTTGGTACGCTCATGAAAGACGGGATTGGCAGCGATCTGAATGGCACTAGTGTTGTCAGCATGTAGAGGAGTAGGATCGGATTGAACACAACCAATCTCAGCAAGGAGGCCACGAAGCCAAAGAATCTCACAACAAGCAGCAGACATTGCACGGTATTCAGATTCGGTAGAAGATTTGGACACGCGATCTTGTTTCTTACTCTTCCAAGATATCAAAGAGTCACCAAGAAACATGCACCAACCTGTAACAGATCGGCGCGTATCAGGACATCCTGCCCAATCTGCATTGCTGTAAGCCACAAGCTGAAGAGGAGTCCCAGTAGGGAAGAATAGGCCACGACTAGGAGAACCTCGAAGATATCGAATGATACGACGTACAGCAGCTAAGTGTAGATGACGTGGAGCCTGCATGAACTGACTAACCTGCTGTACGGCAAAGGAAATATCAGGACGTGTAATGGTTAAGTAGTTTAAGCTCCCCACTAACTGTCGATACATAGTAGGGTCGGAAAGGAGATCACCCTCTTCCCGACGATACTTCGTGTTTACTTCCATAGGAGTATCCACAGTAGAAGTATCTTGAAGACTAGCCAATGCAATCAGATCCTGAGTATATTTATGCTGATTCAAAAAAATGCCAGAGGAATCAGTATGAACTTCCAAGCCTAAGAAGTATGTAAGAGAACCAAGGTCCTTCATATGAAATGAGGCTTGAAGATGTTGCTGCAGTCGGGTGATCAAGCTAGAGTCTGTGCCAGTAATAACAATATCATCAACATAAACCAGAAGAAGGACAATGCCAAGAGATGTCTTGCAGAAAAATAAAGAAGAATCATATGCACTCTGCTGAAATGAAAATTGGAGCAAAATGGAGCGGAATTTATCAAACCAGGCCCGGGGAGCTTGTTTCAGCCCATATAATGATCGTTTCAACCTATAGACATCCGAGGAAGAAGATATATTTACCAAAAAAATTATCACATTTTATTTTATTAAAAAACTCAGCATTTTTTTTTTTTTTTTAACAAATCTAATCAACATCACACAATTTGATGAATATATTTCTACAAACAAATATGAACTTATTAATTATGTACTCAATTAAACAAACAAATTAAATGTTCATGTTATATAACGTTGGATTATATCTGATTATAAAAACCTCTCTGGTCTGGTATTTAATGGTATGGTTTAAAAGTCTAATTACAGTGTGCTAAAAACTTGCCTACTCTATTTTCGTCCTTGTCATTTTTATTAAGGAAAATTAGGTTAAATTAATAAGTATGATTATATATAATAATACAACCCAAAAAAAAAAAAAAAAACCAAACAGTACATCTCAGAGGAACTGGTAAGCAGAGAGCTACGGAACCAGGCAACCAGCAGCTAATGACATTGCTAATTTATCCTTAACTCGAGCCAAGAAAAATTGGGTTTGTTTCATTTTTCCATCACAACTCACATTCATCTATGTGGGTTTGTTTTCTTATTTAGTTTTAATGGAGATTACTGTGATCAAAATGAGTTCTTTTTGTGTTCTTTGATTAAAAGTTTTAATTTTGAAGCTGCAACAAGGTTTTAATTTTAGGTTTCAGTTTGGGTTCTCGAAGATGGCAATGAAGACCCTTTCTGGAAGCTGCTCTTCTGACCTTTCATCTCTCTTTAGAGGAGCTTTCTACGTCACTAGGTATTTTTTTAATCAATTATTATTATTTTTTTGCTTTCAAAAAGCATTAATTTTTATTTTCATACTATTGCTATGAAGGCGTATTGTTAAATTTTAGGAGATTTGAAGTGGAAAGTTAAGGAGAAAAAGCATTTACTCTGTTATATGTTGTGAGTGTGTGGTGAATTTGTGATTTCTACTAATTACAATTTTGAGTTTCATTTTAGAAGATTAGTCAAACAGAATATTGATTTCTCGTATTAATCAGATCAAAATTGTAATTAGCTCGTATACTATTTTTCTTGTATAGACTTTATCTTTTGTTCTGCATCTATGAGGGATAGAGCATTGATGATTTCATTTTGTTCTTCTGCAGGACTCGATTCACTTCTCCCGAGGAAGTCTTCTCTTGCAGAGGAATCGGGTTTTCTAGTAGTATTTCATCCTTCTTACAAAAGCTAATTAATTACGGATATTAACAAGTTTCTTTCCTCTTTGTGGTTTTAACATGATGGTGTTTTGATGTAAGAACAGCTGATTCTTGTGTACATGAATTGTTCAACTCAAGAGTAGATCCTCCAAAGCTTTTATCAGCTGAGAAAAAAGAAGCCAAGTCTCTGTTAAGCTTGTTCTTGATGCAACAATATCTGAGCAAGGCAGCTGCCGCACGAACGATCAATAAATCAGATCATTTCATCAACCACCTCATCTCAAGGCTTCATTCTGCTCATAAATCTCGGTATCTTGTAGGTCTAGTTGCAACATGTAGTTTTTCTTTTTTGGTACTTTTAGCTCAATGTCTTTATTCTCATGCTAATCAGTTTTACTTGTTATTGCAGGAAGAGAGCTCATAACTCTTGAGATTAGGGACACCCTTAATCCTTATCTTCAATCACTCCTTGAAGAGCATGGAAACTTTATAGTAGATTTAGTGAAGAACTTTCGTACTGCACCTATCGAAGGAAAGCCAGCTTTGCTTGTTTGTCGATCCCATTCCAGCCTTGACTCCAAGAAGCCAGAAGCAGTGTCTTATGTTAGTGCCCCAAGTCCAGCAGCAGATCCATGCCCTCAACACAGCTACCTCTTAGAGCTTGGCATGGATCTTGAGCAGATCAAGTTAGCTACACGCAGATGTCCTAGTTTTGCCAACTACAGCTTGGAGAGGAAAATCAAACCTCTAGTAGAGTTTCTTCTTGATCTTGGGGTAGCTAAATCAGAGATTCCTAAAATTCTTGTCCAAAGGCCTCATTTATGTGGACATTGTATATCTGGTAAAATAATACCCATGATGTTATACTTAGAAGATATGGGTGTGGACAAGAAACAGTGGGCAAAAGTTATATTCCGCAGCCCAGGACTCCTCAGTCACAGCATGCAGAAGGTTCAGGCAGTTGTTAATTTCCTTCTTGAGTTGGGCTTATCAGGTGATAGCATAGGTAAGGTCTTAACTCGGTTCCCAAGAATTGTATGTTACAGTGTGGAAGACAATCTCCGGCCGACAGCTGAGTACCTCAAACGGTTGGGGGTTAATGTTGCCATCGTTGTCCACAGATTTCCAGCGATTCTTTGTTGTAGTATTGAGGGCCATCTCAAGCTTGTGACCAAATTTTTCTATGAAAGGGGATTCAGAGTGGAAGAAGTGAGTTACATGGTGTCGAGATTTCCTAATTTGTGTGGTCTCAGCTTGACAGAGAGCTTGATACCGAAATGGGAGTTCTTTTTGACCATGGGTTATTCAAAATCTGAGCTGGTTAAGTTTTCTCATTATTTTGGTTACAATTTGGAACAGAGAATCAGACCACGTTTTGCACTTGTCCAGGAGTTAGGACTGAAAATCAGGCTGAACCTCATGTTAGTACGACTACACTGTGACTTTGAGAAAGTTTTGAAGATGAACAGGAAGAACATACCTGTTGACAAGGTTTCAAGTCATACAGAGAGCAAGTAATATGATCTTTGGTCAGGAACTGGATTGTATGGCTTCTCAGTGAAGTGCTCATTTTGATGGAGAATCCCAGTGGTACAATTTTCAGGCTTGACTTTAACAAGTTTGTTGGAGGTATCTTCGAGTGTCGTCCACAGCATGGTCAGTCCTTTTCATCAATTGTTTCTCTATAATCCTTGTCTTTACAGAAGTTTTCTCTTCTGCCCTACTCTTTCTTGCAAGTCAGTATTCCAATGACGCATGGAAGTGAATTCGGTCATTGTTGTTTAGATGAGCCTCTCTTCCTTATTCCAACTTTTTGTTGCAAATTGTTTTTCTACTTCAATATAAATCTTAGATGTAATGGCTCTAGTACTTGTTCTATTTTTGAAGGCAAGGTTAATATTCTGAACATTTATCTGACAAAATGGTTCTCTGCTTGGGAGTTTATTTTTTTACTAGTTTTGGAGGGTTTTTAATTAGACTGGTTTTGAAGTGTTTAAAAACCATTGCTTGCCAGATTTAAAATAGGTTGGTTTTGACTGGTTTAAAAACCCCTCAAAACCAATAAATTGTATTTTTGAGGGGTTTATAAAACACCCCAAATTGGGGTGTTTTTGCTAGTTCAAACATTTTATCCCAAAAACAACCCCTTTTCACTAATAATCACTGCATTACTACTCATTGCCTTTCTGATGCTTGTTATTTCCCAAGATAAGAACACAACTTGGCGGATAGGAAAGTAGTCTATAGAATTATTCAGGCTTATATTTTGCCTCATTCTTATTTTTCGTCCCAAGAGAAAACCTAGCTAAGACATTATGTACCCTGGGTTTCCTGAACTCCGCCAATTTTCTTCAGCTTTGTGACGCCTGGTGTCACTTTTTCTTGTTCTGCTCTTTCTTTTATTGTGACCAAATTTGTGACTTATTTTTTATTCCTGCCTCCTATCTGGTCTATTTACAATAAGAGGTTTTATTTTGCTGTAGGGCCCCAAATTCCTTCAACTCCATCTCCAAAACCCGCATAAAAAAAGCTTGCATCTCCGTTTCGCTGCCTTTCTATGGAAAAGATTGAAGAACCTGAAGAAGAAACTGAGCACCTGCAACAGCCAGCTAGTAACCGTTACCAAGATCTTGAAACTGCATATGTAGCTCAAATGTGCTTAACTTGGGAGGCCCTTCACTGCCAATACACTCAACCGTGTCAAAAGATTCATGCCAACCCAAAAATCCCACATGTTACAACCACAGTGCTCAGCATATTCAAAAGTTCCAGGTTTTATACTTTTATTACAAAGGTTTATAGAAAATGAGCCTCTTGTTTGATTGGAGAGAAAGAAAATAAAAACAAATAATGTAGGCATTATCTGTATTTATCAAAGTTAATTCAACAAAAGAGAGTCTTGTAACTTTATGGACATATATGTAAATTTATCATTTAGAAACACTATCAGAACCGTTGAAAAATATAATCCCAAACACAGGTTGAGTGTTTTAAAAACTGCTATTAAAAACCCCTTAAAACCGCTATGGTGGTTTACCCTCAAAACCGTTACGATGATTTACCCTCATAACCGCTATTATAAAACTCTCAAGCAGATGTTTTTACTGAATTATAAGTGTGACGTTTTATATTATAAGTCCGTCGTTAAAAATATTACATTCAACACTGCAAGTTTGATATTTTATATCACAAACATGCATGTTTTGAGATACCGAGAATGTAGACTTACATTAAAACTTGAAGCATCACTGCATTTAAAGAGCACAGGTTAGGAATATTATATCAAGAAAAAACACTTTGTGATTGGAAGCAAGCTGGCTAATACAGAATCAAGTGTAATATAATTTTGTTGACATGTCCTGTTTAATGTTTGCTTTCTCCAGTAATGATTTTGCACATCAGGTGATAGCATAGGTAAGGTCTTAACTCACTTCCCAATAAATGTAAGTTGCAGTGTAGAAGACAAATCTCCAGCTGACTGCCCGAGTACTTCAAACAGTCGGGGTTAATGTTGCCATCTTTCTTCCCAGATTTCCAGCGAGTCTTTGTCGAAGTATTGAGGTCATGGATGCTTAGATTTTTCCAATATTTTTGCCTATTCAAGTGTAATGCATAAAATTCATTTTTTTTTATTAATTCACTACAATAAAAAAAACCGAAAATTCAAAGACAAAAGCACAAACAAACATAGCTAATAATTATCCAAAATTTTAGAAGGATCTCTTGCGTTGATATTATATTAGTTACTAATCACTAAATCTTTAGCTAATAATTAAGTGTTCAATAACAACATTTGGATTGTGATTAACATAAAAATTAAACCAAACCCAGAAACAAATGTGGATAATTCAACACAGGACCTCCTGCTTTGATACTTTACAATAAAGTTATTTGAAGTTGAGCTATAAATAAACAAAATTGTTAATGCAGATACAGAAATAACAATGCGATTTGAATGAATAACGAATTGAGGGTCTCGTTGATGGATGGTGTAGAGAGTTTTTAGTCGGGTTTGAGTCTCCACGAGATTTAAAAGTCCGGTAATTAATATAATACGATTAGTGTTGATCGAAAATGAGAAAATTCTAAGAACCGCCAATTCTTTATAGAATTTTCAATCTGAACCCTTATTAGTTACTACCTACGCCCTATGGCTTTATGCAATTAAGTTAAATTGATGTTTGATAGGTAAAATTAGAGTTTCACAATAAACTATAAAAGGGATGAGTGGTTATTGTTTCTTGTAGTTTGACGATCGTGGAATTGTATGTCCAATAACATCATTAGCTTTAGATTGATTCTTATCTCTTAATTTAATCATGTAGAGTTTTTCTAGGAAAAGAGAAGTTTTTCACTAATGCTTGGTAGTAACAAACAATTGCGGCAAGTGATGCGATTAGACATAAGTGGAGTGACCAACATATATTCCACTTATAAATTAACCAAAATTTAGTACTCTTACTTTTTTTTTTTTTTTTTTTTTTTTGTAATGGCATATTGAGACTATTTTTTGAGATCTATTGAATACTTTATAAATCTAATGAGCTAATCTTTTCACATTAACCACATTCATAGTTCATTCCCTCTGTGTTAAGAGACGTCACCAATATCTAAACAAATCTTCAAAAGAGGTGATAGTAACGGGGTATTTTGGATGTTTTAGTGATAGTATAGTGAAAGACCAAAATCATCTCAAAAAAATAAAAAGACAGGTTTGTCCTCCGGAACTTCCATCATTTCAGTATAATGAGAAATAAAATATAACATTACCCCCGAACGTTTGCCAAAGTTCCTCAATCCTCGCGAAGTGACAGTAACTGAGAAAGAGTGAAGTGAAGGGCTTCGCAACTGAAGATTAGACTCCACATTGCTCCATGCTGGTAAGATCTGCATTCTTTATTTTTATCTTCAATTTTTTTTTTAATATTTAGAATATAAATCTGTATGCAAATTGGCTTGAAGTTGAGTTGAGCTAAATATTTTCAGTTCCTTTCCGTTAAAAATTTTCACTACTGCTATTTTGTATCTGGGTTTGTTTTTCTTTAAATTTCATGGGCATTCCTTTGATCAAAATGAGTTCTTTATGTTTTTCCTCTTGAATGTTAACTGGGAAGGAAAAATTTATATTGGTTTGTGTTTTTTCTGAATTAAGAATGTAAAGGTTGACTTTTTAATGTGGTTGAAGAGTGATAGTACTATTTAGGAATGTGAGAATTGATAATGGTAACGTTTATGAGCAATGCAATGTATGTTACTAAAATGATGTTTGTATAAAAATTTATTTGTTCTTGTACAAATTTGATGATTTTGCACATTCTAAAATCGATTAATTCAGGTTACAGTGTGATGATTTGTGTCGCATGGTGAATCTATTCTTGTTGTTAGTTATGTTTGAGTGGTGGGAATATTGGTGGATGTTATTGAATGTGGTTGATTAGTTATGAATGTAACCATTAACTTTGATATGTAATCAAGAAGTCAATATAAGTTGTCTTGTATTTGTACACTGGTCTTGTATTGATAAAAGTTCTGTTTACCTTCTTGAAGATGGAAATGAAAGCCCTTTGTGCAAGCCGCTTGTCCGGTTTTCCATCTCTCTTTAGAGGAACTCTTTGCTCCACAACTTAGAGGTTTTTTTTTTTTTTTTTTTTTCAGTTTTGAAAAATTATTGTAAAAAAAAAGCAGAAATCTTTGTTCCTACTGTTCTTTTGTTTATATGTTTTTGGGGTGAATGATAACATGGGTGCTACTATGTTAAATTGTATTCCAACTCAGTTGCACTTATTTATATAGGGAAGGAGAAAGGGGAAAGGGAACTCAATACAATTTAGCATTGTTATTGCTAAATTAAACCACAAAGAAGCTTCATTTAAGCTCTTGCTTAAGTTATTTGGTCAAAAAGGAAATTTCCTATTCTCTGCTATTATATGGTAAAATCACCCCTTTTTTTAACGCCAATATTTCTCCTGTTTATTTTCTTAACTCGAGCATTGACTTCCTTTTATTCTTCTGTAGGAGTCGAATTACTTTTCCTGAGAAACTCTTCTTTTGCCAAGCGAAGCTTGGTAAGTTCCGTTCTTCTAGTAGTATAACATTCATATAGAAGCTAAACTTATTTGTATTTACATGTTCTTGTACTCTTTTTAGTATTAATACCATGTTGTGATATAAAAGCAGCTTTTTCTTCTGGAAATCGATCCTTCAAATACATGGTAGTGCCTCCAACCCTGTTAGCTGCTGAAAAAGAAGAAGCCAAATCTGTGTTATCCTTGTTCTTGAAGAAACAAGGTCTGAGCAAGGTAGTTGCTGCAAAAACCATCATTAAATCAGATCTTCTCATCGATCACCTTCTCTCAAGGCTTCATTTTGTTCATAAATCTCAGTATCTTGTAGGTTCGATTGCAATATGTCCTGGTTTTTTTTGGCTATTGTTTTCTAAGTGTTTTTGTTTCTAATTCTTATTTTTCCCACCAAGAAGTAGCCAAAAGCTGTCTCTCGAATGATTGAGGTTGGTGCAGTTTGTGATTTATGCCCTCAATTCCTCTACCTCATAGAGCTTGGCATGGATCTTGAGCAGATCAAGTTTGCTACACGCAGATATCCTAGTTTTGCCAACTACATCTTGGAGAGGAAAATCAAACCACTAGTTGAGTTTCTTCTTGATCTTGGGGTAGCTAAATCAGACATTCCCAAAATTCTTGTCCAAGCGCCTGATTTATGCGGACTTAGTATATCTGGTAAAATAATACCCATCATGTTATACTTAGAAGATATGGGTGTAGACAAGGACCAGTGGGCAAAAGTTATATACCGCTTCCCAGGACCCCTCACTTACAGCTGGCAGAAGGTTCAGGCAATCGTTGAATTCCTCTATGAGTCGGGCCTATCATCCAAGAGTACAGGTAAAATCTTGAATCGATGGCCAAAGATTGTTAGTTCCAGCGTGGATGAGAATCTACGACCAACTGTTTTAGTTACAGAATGAGATCACGTTTTGCACTTGTCAAGGAGTTAGGAGTGAAAATGGGGCTGGCTCGTGTGTTAGTATGATCACACTGTGACTTTGAGAAAGTCTTGAAGATGAACAGGAAGAACATCCTTGTTGACAAGGTTTCAAGTCATACAGAGAGCAAGTAATATAATCTTTTGTCAGGAACTGGATTGTGTGGTTTCTCAGTGGAGTGCTCATTTCGATGAAGCTTCCCAATGGTACAATTTTCAGGCTTGACTTTAACAAGTTTGTTGGAGGCTTCGAGTGTCGTTTGCAATGTGGTCAGTCCTTTTCATCAATTGTTTCTCTATAATCCTTGTCTGTACAGAAGTTTTCTCTTCTGCATTACTCTTTCTTGCAAGTTAGTATTCCAAGGATGCATGGAAGTGAATTCAATCATTGCTGTTCAGATAAGCCTCTCTTCCTTATCATGAAAATTTTTTTGTTGCAAATTGTTTTGCTACTTCAATGTAAATCTTAGATGTAATGGCTCTAGTACTTGTTCTGTTTTTCGAAGGTAAGGTTAATATTCTGAACATTGATCTGGCAAAATGGTTCTGGTTGCTCAACAAGTGATTGTTTGTTGGTTATGAATCTTTGCTATATTTGAATTTAAGCTTTTACTGAATTACAACTGTGATGTTTTATATTATAACTCTATCGTTAAAAATATTACATTCAACATTGCAAGTTTGGTATTTTATACCACAAAACATGCAGGTTTTGAGATAATGAGTATGTAGACTTCATATCTTATATTAAAACTTGGAGCATCACTGCATTTAAACAGCACAGATTATGAATAGTATATCAGCTGAGATACAACTGAGTCTTTTAATACTAAATGTTGAAGTCCTTGTTTTAATAAAAAATCGTGATGGGAAGCAAGCTGGCTAAATGCTAATACAAAATCAAGTTTAATCAAAGATAAGACCCATTGAAATGTCCAAGTGATAAGTTTGTTGACATGTCTTGTTAAATGTTTGCTTTAGTGACATGATGATAATGAAGGCACTTACTTTCTCCAGTAATGGTTTTATTTTCTTTAGTCATTAAGTGGGAAAACGAAATATCATGTTACAATATCAATTTTAAAGTGAGTTGTATTATGTGGATTTATAACAATTGGTATCAGAGTATGTACTATTCGAAAGGGTGATTAACTATGTTATGTGTAGCTGTTCATGCTGTTTGCTTTTGAATTGATGAATAAGTGTTTCTGCATTTTTTTTGAAATTGTTCAGATTGTGTTTCTGGGATTGGGAGAATCACCAAGAATCTTTTAGTAAGATATTTTAACGAGGTAAAGTTATTATTATTATTTTTTTCCCATATTTACTAGTTTAAGCAGTGTAGTCTTAGATATTATCTGGCTGAATTTTAGTGATATGTGATCGTGCAACAATGTCCTCATGCAGTATAATTATACAAATGCATAATGTAATGGCTAGTCCATTACAATCTATTCTGAGTAAAAAGTTGTTTGTAGAATGAACGTTTGAAAACTGTTTCTTGAGTACCCCTTTTAGAATTAGTTCACTTGAAGAATAATTACTTTGTTTTGTTGGTTGGTGGTTCGTGGTTCGTGGATGGACTCAATGTTAATGATATGCCTAAGCACTAACATTATGGTAAGTTCAAATCTTCACTGTGAACTAGACAGAGCATGTTTAGTCCATTATATTTTATTGGTTTATTTAAACGCAGAATTGATCTTAAATGCTTTTTTATCCCCATATTTAACTCAATTTATGTAGATTTCTCATCCAATATTTCATTGTATTCTGAACCAATGATGACAAAAGTCACAAAACAAGTTTTGGCTTGTACATGTGTTCACTTATTACTGTTTTGGGAAGTCAACCTATGGTTTGTGGTGATTATAGGGCACTTAGGTAAAACCTCAAGTGGTGAACTTCATGTTTGATTTGACTCCTGTTCATGGTTTGTGTTTGCAATTGCACCTCTGTTAACATTTCATACCACCTGCCCTTGAATTAATGTTTGGATTTTGTTAGATGACGATATTACTGCTTGCTTCCTGTGTTAAACATTGCCCTATGACTTAGTTTATGCGAGGTTATCTTGGCTGAAGATTATATCTTTATCAGATTTTGAGGCTTTTGTTCATCCTGTGATGATGCATGTTGACTGCATGGTGTTTAGATAGGAGTAAACTTCTGTTGTACAGCTGCTCAATAAATTGAATTTCAAAATTGACTCATTTATCCTTTTATATGCGAATCTTTTCTATGTGATCCAGGTTGATCTTCTTGAGCTTGTGTCTCATTTCTTAGATGCTGCTTGTGAAAATTTAGCTTCTGAAAATCATGTGGCCTCTGATACGCACAAGGTTGCTAATGTTTTTTGTGTTCCTCTTCAGGTAGTTTACTTGAAGTGAAATATTATCTATATTAGTAATAAGTTCAAGCTTGTGAAATTTTTAGATGGAAGATAATGTTAAATTACTTCAGTTTGAATTTTGTATGTGTTATGATATGCATAATCCATATCAGAAGAATATATACACTTGATAATTGCTAATAAATTTGTTTATTGTATTTGTAAATGTCGTGTTTTTGGAGCTTAGGTTTTCTTAGATGCTACGAATCAAGAGTTTTAGCTGGGAAGTATTGTAGCATTAAAATGAAGTTCTCTAAACTATCATTTGTTTCCTAGCTATCAATTATTTCATTATTTTATATGAATATATCATACAGTGAAGTCCCGGTTGCACTTTGTTTTAGATGGGTATATTATACAAGAGAGGATGAAGCTTTCAATTTACTGCAATGGAGTAATTCTTGGCATTCAGAATATAACTCAATGACACACACTAAATGGCTTTTGCCTAATAACTTCTAAGTTAAAATTTTGTAACCCCTAGACTCTAGTTATTGCTCTACTGCTAAGGTTTCTTTTTCATTTTCATTTTTTAAAACATATACTGCTTACCACTGTTAAAGTTTATTTTTACTTAATTGATTATTGCCTTGCTATGGATATTCAAACAAAACTGTTGGGGTCAAACAGGGAAGTTTGTTTTTCACAGTAGTTTGGTTATCTGTGAGAATGTAGGTGCAATTCAAGTGTATTTGGTAAACCTTGTTTAAAGAAATGTCATTTTCAAGTTTAATTATCAAGAAACATAGTTAAAATTTGAAGCCTTTTGTTTAATTTGTGCAGGGGATACTATAAATGTAGCAGCATGAGAGGCTGTCCTGCAAGGAAGCATGTGGAGAGGTGCTTGGAAGATCCATCCATGCTTATTGTTACCTATGAAGAACATAACCACCCGAGGTTACCATCCCAATCGGCAAACACATAAACCTCAGGGAAAGCTACATCGGATCACTTCAAGTCATTGGTGTTCAATTTATTGGAACCTTATTTATGTTTGGCTTGAATTGCTCATGGACATATTTTTGCAATGGCTCAACTTCAATCATGGGACATACTTGGAGTGGTTTTATCTTGGCTTGGAGAGCTGGCTTTCCATGACTTTTTTTTTCTTTTTTTGGAATGTGGCCGTGGGCTTCATTTCCGTGTGCCGAATCAAAGCAAATGTGGGATTGGGGTTTCAAAGTGTAAGAACTTTTTCATCTTTAAAAGGCAATTAGTGCTTTAGACAAGTTAAGAATTGTGTTGCAACGCATGAATGATGTGAATGTGTTAATGACAACTTTAGGAAAAAAAATGCTCTGTTAGGAGGGCTACATCAACTTTTGTTCTTTTTCTTGGAAGATCTCAGCCCCTGGATTCCAAATCCAAGGGCTGAGCTGAACCTGGTAACATTACAGGAGGGACAATTTTATCAATAGTGGGGTCACTCACACTTGCAGGTGGGTTTCATTGCTTGAAAGCAGTGTGTTTTATGTGGAGAAAAGTAGTTGATAAATTAGGTGATTTTAACATGTATCCGGGAAGAACAAATTTGGTAGAAATTCAACACAATTAGAATCTTATCATAATTAAGAATGTGATATGGAAAACGGGGAAGAAAATGAAGAGGATGGAGAGGGATCGTATCAACGTAATACAGACAACATAACATGTCTTACCAAACAAATTTTCAAATTCAAATTCAATTCGATTTGATTTAACTCAACTCAAAACACTTCTTCATAATAACATTTTTTAGTAAGTGTAACAAACAGGCCCTAATGTTGAAGTCCTGGTTTTAATAAAAATCACTTTGTGATAGGAAGCAAGCTGGCTAATACAGAACCACGTGTAATCAAAGATAAGGTCATTGAAATGTCTAAGTGATAAGTTTGTTGACATGTCTTGTTAAATGTTTAGTGACATGATGATTGTTGTGTGTGGTTTTTCCTCTAAGCTCGGGCCAATACGAGGATATAGCTCGACCCAGAATGAGCTCGGCAATAATGATTGATCAACCCAACATACGCTTGTCGACCCAAAGCTCGACCCAGCACAAGCTTGTCGAGGACAGTTCAAGGAATCATTTAATCAACCTCCAGATTATTTCATATCCCAGATATTACGAGAATGATCAACCACGATCACTGTGCAATCACAGCACCCAATCGCAAGGATATTGGAATTGCGATTCAGATAAATTGTAATCCCCTTAATTTCGCTCTTTTCTTTGTACAAATCTTGTATATAAACCCCTTCAAACGATGAGGAAGGGGTTACGAATTTCACATACAAAATATATTGTAAGCTCTCATAGCAAATACAAAAACAGTGGACGTAGGCTTCAAAGTTAACCTCGCCGAACACCTTTAAAACTCTCATTGTCTTTACTTTATTGCATTCTTTTTACGTACATTGCTGATTGTTCTTAATCATACACACATCAGTTCTGATCTTGTTTTGTACAAATCTTGTATATAAACCCCCTCAAATGATGAGGAAGGGGTTACGAATTTCACATAGGAACTATATTGTAAACTCTCACAGCAACTACAAAAATAGTGAATGTAGGCTTCAAACTTAACCTTGCCGAACACCTTTAAAGCTCTCATTGTCTTTACTTTATTGCATTCTTTTTACATACATTGCTAATTGTTCTTAATAACGCACACAACAGTTCCGATCTCGGCAAGGTCGATTAGATCTTGCTTGTTGGTGCAGATTTCTGTATCAACATTTTGGCGCTAGAAAGAGGGCCTCTGCCAATATTTCGAAGACTCTGGCAAACATTCACTGCAATTTACTTGTCCCAGGATCAAGATGGTGTTCACCAGATCAAGAACTACCACTAGAAATCATGAGAACATAGAAACCACCCATCAAGAGGTGCAGTAGGAGAACATTGGACACCAACCACCTGTGCCGCTAGCTCAGCATGCCGCAAACAACCAGGGGGTAGGGACGTCAAACCCCGAGAATGGCCAGTTGATGGAGATGATCAGGACAATGGTTGCACAGGTGGTGCAACAGAACATGGCTGAGCTTAGGAACCAACAACCAATTGCCTAAAACCTTGACCAGCCGCGCTTCGCCAACGCCACCCCAACAGGTATGAATTTTGTAGGTGGACAGTCTCCTTCATCGCCGCCAAGGGGCGAACATCTCTAACCTCGCAGACAAAACTCTATGCACGAGTGTGAATCCCGCGGGTAAACTAACCCCAGGAGGCGACCAGGGAAGTAGCCGCTGAGGGAAAGCGAAGGCAATGGACACAATCGAGAACCTCGATAATATCCCCAACGTTAGCGTTCCGGTTTTAACCCATGCTTAAGACTAGATTGATCTTTGCAGGCCTGCGAAGCGAGCTATGTGCGACAATCTGGCAATGACCGACGTTCCGGTTATGACCCACGTCGTGAGCAATGCACTAACATGCATGATAACACCTACCAACCCAGCGATCATGACTCGACCTCGCGCATTAATGCATGCACTGGAGGAGCTTCATAAGCAACAGAATTACGAACTCATTCGCTCAAGGTACAACTTAACAGAGCCAACCAAGGCAACCAAAGTGAAGACTTAGATTGCATGCAAAAGATGCTCGACGATCTAAAAGCTCGCCAGAACAATCTGGCGGAGGAAATAGTAAGTTCCCCCTTTATGGAGGAAGTTCGCCAAGCCTTGCTCCCATAAGGGTTCAGGGCGCCAAAGAGCAAGTTTGATGGGAGAGGGGACCCTGGAGGTCACCTCAATAGCTGCACCAGGTCAGTGATTTAGCGAAATGCTGGTGCTTCACAATCACATTGGTCGGGGATGCTAAGAGGTGGTACAAGCCGCTTAAGGTGAACTCCATCAACTCTTGGCAATAATTTTCTGCACTGTAACTACAACAATTCCAAGCGAGGAGATAGTTCGCAATATCACTCAACTACTTGAGCAACATTTGCCAAGAGCGGGATGAATCAATGACCTCATATTTAACGAGGTTTAAGAACGAGCAGGCAAAGGTCGTTGATGCCCCCAAAGAATCCATTCGGACTCTACTGATCACAAGGATCAGACCTAATACAGAGCTATGGAAAGAGCTCTAGAGTAAAGATCATGTGAGCCTAGCCAAATTCTACTAGATGTTCGTGAAGTACCAGCGAGTAGAGAGCTCATTAGCGGCACTAGCCAGACCACAGCGACAGGGGTCGCAACAGATTTCAAAAGAAATAGAGAGTAGATAACCGTGGAGATAGGCAGCTTTTCCTGCGGTATGCAGAGTACACCCCCCTCACTCAAAGACATCGTTCGCATCTATAAAGTATCTCGAGAGGCAAAAAGGTTGCCTGCTCCAGAGAGGATGAGGGAGGCACCAGGCAGAAGAGATCGACAGAAATATTACTGATACCACAAGGATATTGGACACAACACGAATGACTGCCGAGCTTTGAATGTGCCATCAAGGACTTGATAAGAAGAGGTCATTTGAAAGAATTTGTCAAGGCAGGACTAGCTTGAGAGAATCTTGTCGAGCAAAGTAACCAGGTTCCGAGTCAAGCACAAACTCAGGCTCAATAGGCTCCACCAAATCCCAATGAGGTCTTCGTAAATATGATCTACGGAAGACCAAATATAGCAGAAAGCTCGAGACGAGCTCACGAGCAATATGCTTGGGAGGCCAGAACAGACTTGGTTCCTCGAATAATGAGTTGCGAACAGAAGCTGCCCAAGCAACTCAAATAGGAAAGTGAGGTAGTGGGGTTCACAGTTGACGAGTGTGAAACATCCACTCGTCATAATCATGACGCCATTGTAATCGCAGCCAGGATTGGCAATGCAAGGGTGTTAAGAGTTATGGTCGACAATGGGAGCGCGACAAACATCATTTTCTTAGAAGCCTTCCGAGGAATGGGATTCACAGAAAGGAACTTGCAAGCATGCCCTTCACCACTCTATGGGTTCAACGGGGAAAGCCTGGTTCCCAAGGGTACTATCGACCTTCCCGTAACTCTAGGGGCAGAGCCAAAGGTTAGAACTATGATGTTTGATTTCTTGGTGGTGGACCGCCTGACCACATATAACATCATCCTTGGAAGGACAATCCTAAATGATTTAAGCACAGTCACATCGGTGCACTACCAAGCGATGAGATTTCCAACTTCTAGAGGAGTTGCGACAATCAGGAGCTGTACCAAGGAATCTCAAGAGTACTACAATCGGGCTATAAACACCGCACAGAAATGGCCGCATCCAAAAACAATGATCATCGCAGAATCTAAGCTGAACCTCAGACCGTTAAAGGACACTATAGATCTTCGCATCCACAAAGAGGAGCCTACGATGGATCGAAAAGGTACTAGAGATAAGTGTTAGCGAGAAGGATCCAACTCGTATGCTGAAGATCGAAAATAGCTTGACTAAAGAGATGACCGACAGCCTAATCGGGTTCCTAAAGAAGAATCTCAATGTATTCACATGGGTGCACACAGATATGGTTGGGATAATCCCCGAGGTGATGTGCCACAGGTTGAACCTCGACCCATAGGCTCAGCCCATAAGATTGAAAAGAAGGGTCATGGACGCAGAGCGCTCTCAAGCGCTTAAGGATGAAGTTGACAAACTTCTAGAAATCAACTTCATAAAGGAAGTCAAGTACTTGGACTTGCTCGCCAAATCAGTCCTAGTCAAGAAGCCGAATGGCAAGTAGCGGACTTGCGTTGACTTTACGAATTTGAACAAAGTCTGTCCAAAAGACAGCTTTCCTCTACCATGGATCGACCAACTAGTAGATGCGACAGTAGGAGACACACTACTTACCTTGATGGACGCGTACTTAGGATATAATCAGATCCCGATGTACCAGCCCGATGAAGAGCATACTTCATTTATAACTAATTTTGGAATTTATTATTACAGGGTTATGCCGTTTGGCCTCAAGAACACCGGGGTGACCTCCCAGCATTTGGAACCAAATCTGCCATTCCATGAAAGTGTACATCAACGACATGCTCATCAAATCAAAGGTCGTCGAAAGTCATATTGAGCACTTAGGGGAAATGTTCGATATCCTCGAGAAGTATCAAATGAAGCTCAATCCATTGAAATGTGCTTTCAGGGTGCATTTTGGAAAATTCTTAGGCTTTCTCGTGAACCAACGGGGTATAGAAGCTAACCCGGAAAAGATCCAAGCCCTGCTCAACATGAAAAGCCCAACCGGCATAAAACAGGTACAGAGCCTGATTGAACGTGTAGTTGCGCTCAGCAGGTTTCTTTCCTGAGCCACGGATAGATGTTTACCATTCTTTGAGACCTTGAAGGGGATGAAAGGTTTCAAGTGGATAGAAGAGTGTGAAAGAGCCATCCAGGAGCTAAAGAAACACCTTAGAACGCCTCCCCTATTGTCAAAACCCATCC